TGTACGAATTTATCATCGATGTACGTGCTACGTGGCCCGCCCATCTCACCCACCGCTTCCTTCCGTATCTTCATTAATCATTCGACGCTGTATGGTCTGAGCTACTGACAGCGTCGTTAAATAAGTCGCCAAGGTAACGACGAAACATCTGGTTCGGGGCAGAGCCGATGGCCGACACGGAATGCCCTTCTCCGATCTCTGTGATGAATAATGAATGACCTTACAATTATGGGGCATACATACACTTACGAAACAACATTGAATGTGGTAACAAAGTACAATTGATCTAGAAGAAGATAACTTTCCGATATTTAATGGACATCTGATGAAGGATTGCATTTAGAATATTACATTTGAATTTATATCGATTCTACACCTGAAGATGGTTCATTGAAAACCGAAACATGTCGTGAAAAAGATGATGCTCTAATTGTAAATCGAACATTTCGATAGAAAGAGCATCATTTTAATATATTTTAAATATTTTAAATATTAAATGTTAATTGTAGTAATAATATTTTAATATTTAATAAAATATTTTATTGTGATTAGACGGTTAGAATTAAACAATTATAATCATCACAATATGACGCAACATTATCATCTCATTATAGGGCAATTTACATGGCGAGAAAATCGTGACTCCTTTACGCGTCACCATGGCTACAGCTGAGTGCGATTAAAAAGTAACTGTTAGGAGTGTTTGGTTTACAAGGCCGTTTCGCGTCCATTTTACCGCGAGCCAGGCGCATATTTCACGGATTTTAATGTGATCTGGCACAGTTTTTGCCCGAAAATTAATGGTGAAATGTCGATGTTGATCTTGTGGGTAGATACCAAGTTTTCGAAAGAGGCTTGCAGCTCTGAAGGTGGTGGTGGTAGTGTCTTTCTACGAAACGCTGATATGTACCCTCAAGTCCACGGAGCGGTTTAAGTGTGTGTTATAAATGTATTCACTGTAATCAACGATTATACATTTGTATTACAGCTAATAAAACTTCCTACAAAATTCACATTAAATTACTCTGTTTTTTTATTTGGTATTAACGAGAAACTTTGGTTTTCTTGTTTTTAAAGGAGGAAATGGTGAGTCCTTGAGTGGGGGGGGGGGGTAGTCCATCGCGTTCTGTCGTCAGAACTTTCAAAGGCTGTCCAAAATTGAGAGTCAAATGAGCTGTTGCGAGTTACTTTAATTTCTTCTTACTGTTCCGCGTGAAATGTGGAAGGCCCGATGCCACACATGGATTCGCGCCAACATTTGGTGCGACTGGACGGCCGTGCTGTGTAGCTCAGGCGGTTAGTCACCGCGGAGGTCCGGGTTCTCGGCTTAGGTCAGTCCACGTGGAATTTGTTACGGACGTAGAGTCTGTCGCTGGGTTCGTTTCGAGTGCCAGGTCCACGCGGCATTGTGTTTCCAGCCTTGTCACTCCGTCGGATTGTGCATTTCAAATCGGAAGTTCCGAACCTTCGGTCTGCATCTTCGTCGCATTCAGTTCCGGAGAACAGCAAAGCGATGTAGGGGGTGGCTTCAGACAGAGGATTCACACTCCATCCCCCACAGAGTTCCTTATATCTGGTGGATAAAACACTGGGTGGTCTCCGTAATATCTGCCCAGACTTGGTGACGACTAATTGCTGATGCACGTCTGTTCGTGAACTTCCTTGGTGAATGTTTTTGACATCTCTTCCTGTCTTCGGGCGATATCGGCAAACAATTTAATAAGAAAGAGTAGTTTCTGCGTGTCGAGGGCACTTTTTCATGAGACAAGGCGGCCGGGACGTGGCTCTGGCCACTTACCCTCGTATGTAACGATGTTAGGAACGCGCGGAGCTGCGCCTCGGATCATACATCGTGGTACTTTAATTAAGCACAGCTTTGCGTTTACTCAGTATGATGATTCATCAAGAACGGTAAGGAACGTCGCGGTGTAGTGGATTTTCGAGAAGTCCCGGGTTTGAATATCGTTCAGGGGATTGGCAATATTTTGCTGACATCTTTGTTATTATTTTAATTTCCTCCGAAAAATTGTCATTTTAAAACGCGGCGGAGTGATCAGATGTTTTGGCCCGACCGCATTGCGGTGGGCCTACATCTGTTTGCTTCAAAGATCGTGTATAGTAAGCAACTACATAATGCAAAGCTTGGAGCGTGGTATCTTTCCATTTATCCTCTCTGATACTGTTTTTCATTTGTCAGGTTATTTTAACCTACTCTTGCTGCCGTAAGCAATGTGCTCTCTTGACGCTAAATTGTATACCTCGTATGCTGAACGCGTGGTTCACACTGACGAGTTTTGACGTTGGATTCAGTTTCACAATTTGATATTTCCGATTGAAGTCGTCGTTCGAGTATGAAGTAGTATACAGTGAAATTCCACTTCTCATACGGTAATTATATTTTAGAGACAATAAAAATATTATTGATTTAGTCGTTGGCCAAAACAGCTGTTATTTCCTTAAACAACATGAAATAGCTGATCTTTGTAATGGTAAAGTGTAGTGTTTTCTTTGTGGTACGGACTGGATTCTTAAATACTATTCAGGCTAGTTTCAGCTTCAAAGGGTTGCGTCTAATCTGACCTCAGGTTTAGTATATCCAAACCAGGGCGAGTGGATATCTGACCCTGTTGACGGAGGCAGTATGACCTCTGAAACGGTGGTTAACATCGACCAGACTACACAGCGCAACTACCCAGAAGACAGAAATCTTCATCCTCTGATGACGGAGGCAGTATGACCTCTGAAACGGTGGTTAACATCGACCAGACTACACAGCGCAACTACCCAGAAGACAGAAATCTTCATCCTCTGATGACGGAGGCAGTATGACCTCTGAAACGGTGGTTAACATCGACCAGACTACACAGCGCAACTACCCAGAAGACAGAAATCTTCATCCTCTGATGACGGAGGCAGTATGACCTCTGAAACGGTGGTTAACATCGACCAGACTACACGTCGCAACAACCTAGAAGACGGAAATCTTCAGAAACGGAACTGTTCGTCAGCCATCTGACCATTCTGTAGGCCTTTGTCAGCCAGAAAGTTCAGCCGCGTTCACAGGCTGGATAACCTCAGGCCTTTTTCGAAAGAGTGGTATTTCCTCCAAACCAAATATAATGAATGTGCCATTACCTTTCTAACAAAACGTAAGAGACTGTACATAATAAATTTGACATTTTTGTTGTGAAAGTTATATTGTGTTTTAAGCAGTTGTAAACGTGTTTTTGCCCAGTCAGGGTCGCGGAGTACCTCATCAATGTGCATCAACCTTCTAACTTTCGTTCTTCGTCAGCACATCGACCTAATTTTGAAAACTCGTTCGTGTTCTCCGATTGATCGGTTTCTCTCTGTCTTTAACAGAGCATCACACCGCTTCGTTCTGCTTTTTATTTATTTCGAAGGCGGTGTTTCCAAGTGCCAGCCTCAAAATTTATTTGGCATTTCGACTGGTAATATGTGTTTCTTTTTAACTTGCTTTGTTTATCGTGGCTGTAGGTTTTGTTTTGCTTTGCTGTTGAAGTTAATGAGAGGAATATTATTTCAAGGTCATGGAAGATGTGAAGCATTTTGTACATCCGATCCTGCTGTGCGGGTCACTTCAGACTCAGGGGAGCCTGCATTCCAAAGAGATGCTTAATCTAGTAGGTTTCGAAGTCTGGATCTAACTGCGTGGGGCCGAGTCCTTTAGAAGTTAATAAATAGTTTGTCATCAAATCAGCGTAAGGTCCGTCAACTTGAGCTGGGCCAGTCCAATCCAAAATCCTTGCGCTCTGTTTTACGCCCTTCAAATGCTGTTCAAATCAAAAATTCTGTGTCCTTTCTCAGCCCGTGCGTGCTGCATGCCTCGCCCATATTATCCCCTTCGATTTGGTCACCCAGTCTCCTGTGGGCGCTGGGATCTGTACCTCCCACTTCCACCCACGTCTTACGGTGCTCGATCAGGACAACCTTAGCCTTATTTCAACTTTTTTTGGCTCATACAGTCTGTCGATTGTACAAATTGCCGAATCAGCTTTGTCTTTCTCCAATTAATTTTATTTGTTGCATTATTTTCCCACATAACTGTACCCTACTATCCTAAGAAGTTCCTATTCTAAGCAATAACAGCGTTGATTGACAGATGGAAGTGTCTTCAAACTCAGGATGCTGTAATCAGTTCTTTGGCCAGACATTTTGTCATCCGGGGCTGAACTATTGTCTTCTTGTTGAGTTGGCATCTGGGGAACCCACTTTTGTTCCTTCCAGTGGGATTATAAATTGTTTATTTGTGTAATTGAAGTGCCTTAAAAAGAAAAAAATGTTTTATAGTGGGTAGTGGTGTCAAAAGGTCAACAAACGTAAGCACTTTAACAAACTTCCTCATAAAGAGATTGTAGAGGTCAAATGATTTTTATTGACTGATTGACAGCTCTGTATATCAAATCTAAAAGTTCTTGACGATGGTGATGAGTCATTTGGATATTATCCATCGTCTAGTAAGTAAAATATAAAACGGACGTTTCGGAGATGGGACTCTATCTAGTGTGCCCAACTGAGTAGGCACCTGAAGACGTAGACAGAGCCCCATCTCCGAAACGTCGTTTTACGTTTTATATTTTACTTACTAGACTATGGATAATATCCAAGAAAATTTTTATTCAAATGACAGCAAGAGTTTTATGATGGAAGTTGTGTACCAACATATCGAGATTCACAAAATGTGAGCCTGCATTGGAAGACTAAATTTAATTGTATAAATTTCAAAGAATCATCTTCAGCCCTGAAGATCTAGACATTGTGTACCTCTGAAACAGTGGTATCCAGAGTCCACGTGGCATTGAAACCCAGAATATCGGTATCGTCACCTTCACCACTCGGAGAACAGAAAATCCCTCATAGTTGGTTTGCAGTTCCGTGTTGGGTCAGATGTTTTATTTTGTGGACTGTTTTCCTTTTTATTGACTTGTATGTCTCGTTGCATGAGCCACGCATTTGCAAAACGCTCTGTTTACTTGCAGGCACATCCCAAAAGCAAAGGCAACTACCATGGCAGAAACACCAGAATTGAAGCGAATTGCAGAAAACACAAAAATTCAGTCAAATGTAAGTAAAAATAACCGATAAAGTTTTTCAATAAAATCTTCTCGGGCAATCAGCCGCATCTTGTAGAAAAGTGTGGAGCACAGTGGAAAAAAAATGTGCACAAAATATTTATTAGAATTGGTTTTATGGAGGTTAAAATTCTTCTAAAGTCATTACGAATGATGTTACAACTTATACTGGGGGTAGAGCGTACATAACTTAAGGAGTGAGACATTAAATATAAACAGAAATAAAGCAAATGTTCAGGAACAATACTGATAAAATCTAACCTTTGACTAGGGTTCTGTATGACCAAAATCTTGACAACGTTCAGAAAAATGATATTCTGATGTTTGGGAAAGTAACATGCTTTTATTTTATAGTTTTTAATGCCTTGCCGACAGCCCTGATTGAAATTGAACACAAACTGAAGTATTCTGAAGAAGTAGGAATATTTTTGGGGGCCCTGGTTTTTGGTCTAGTAGATCAGACAGATTGGCTTCATTTGCCGAGAAATGTGGTGCCGAGATTAATATTGCTTGCACATGGTTGACTCGTGTGTGTGAGCTTGTATATGAATTTCAAAGTGCAAAGTCTGGAGACCATGTGAGACACTTAAGTATATATTAACGTGTTGCGCACGAGTTTGAACCTTCAATTTTTTAAATGTCAGTACAGTAATAACAAATTTGCCTTGATGATAGAGGCAGTAAGCTCCCTTGAAACATTAGTCAGTATGTACCAGGCTGCATGATGCAAAATCCCAGAGGACTTCATACTCATTACCATGAGAACACAAAATTTCACCTAAGAATTTTGTCAGGGATACGTGCAACAATTTTTCTTCTCCGAGTTATGGTTCTGTGAGAATAAGATCGTTTTCAAAGCCAGTTGCATAATTTTTGTTGTGTTTTTACTTCCTAGGTTCTGTATCACGCTGAGTTTGAAAGAGCAAAAGGAAAATTCACACAAGTCGCCGATGATCCTGAAACATTACGAATCAAGCAGAACTCAAAGATTATCAGGTATAATGAATATGTTCTTTAGCGCTGAAATTTTTCATACGCACGCCACGTTGATATTCTGGTACCCTCTGTAAACATGTTTCTGAAGGTTTTAGAAAGTGTCACTATTAAGGTTGGTACCCTCATTCAGTTTCACTAATGGCTGAGGATTCCCCACCAATGGCTGAGGATTCCCCACCCATTGACTTCCTTATGCATAAACACATTATATCTGAATTGAAATATGTTAGAAATTTTTAGTAAAACTTCCCAAGAGGGTGAAGCTGACAGTAGTCGTATGTCATTTATTTATATCTTACTTAATGCAGTTGCTCAGATGTTCTGTTTATTAGAATCATTGAATAATATGAAGGAGGATAACCAAAGTTGTCGGTGTTTATTGTAGTAACGTAGCATATCATGGAGAATTGGAGAAGAAGGCAGCGATGGAGCAGAAGCGAGTCATGTCTGGGGAAAATGGAGAACCTGTTGGTGATGGTAAGTTTCAAAAGTTTCAGAATTTTATTCCAACTTTGGGGAATAATTAAAAAAAAACTTCGTTTTACGAGAAAGTATTCTTCCTTCTTTTGCCTTCAACAGATTTATTTTACTAAAAGTGTATTCTGTTTCTGCGGTATTACTTGCTCTGTGTAATTATTTTGTAGTGTACTTAGAAGACGAAACAATGTTTTTGTAAGTTTTCTCCTCTGCTTTTGTGTTTGTGTGTTTCCTTCAACTCACCTAAACTTTTATCTTGAAGGGGTTGTTAGAAGTACATCCGTCATTATAATAATAATATCGTCACATGCTTACATATATCATCATTTAAATGTGTCATCCGCAGGCCTCCAGATTTCTTCACTTAACAATAGATTTATGATGCTCCTAATTATGAAATTCCCTTTATTCCCTTGGGTCCAGATATCTTCCGCAACATCCTTAGACTGTGTGTTTCCCCTGTAGTAAGAGACCAAGTTTCAGACCCAACTTTACAAAGTATTATTAGTGTTGGTTATGGGATAATTATGTTGCTTTGTGTTTATATGTTGTGTATGTGTTTCATCTCCCTCCGTCATTGTAGCAGATGACATAAACATGCCCCCACCCCTGCAAGTGCCTCCCCCTGCTCAGCCCATCAATCACCATCACTCAGTGGGGGTGCAGCCCCATCACCACCATCATCATATGCCCGGAAAGATAGCAGACTACGACCCTCTGGTGGAGGCTCCCCATAACTCCCCGTACTCGGCAAGACAGAGCGCTACTGTAATCTACACTTCTGACCGAGGCCCAGGTATTGCTCGCTGGTTTGGACTCAAGTTACCTTAGTGTATGTATAATACAGGGTGGCGCACGAGATGTTGAACCATTTGCTTTTCATTTTGTGGTCGTACCATTATAACGATATTACAAACTTCGCG